AACACTTTACAAGACTTGCAGTGAAAAGCAGAGGTTCTACCACCCCGATATCACCCCTTTTCTCCAAAGTCAGCTTGTATAAATTTTCTTACCCAGTTCTTTTAGTCTTTCTCAGTGTATCTCTAAATGTTATGCTTGTGTTGGTACTTTTATTTTTCAGTTTTGTGTATTGTCCATTCATTTCTAAGTAGGAAAGATGAAGTTTTATCTCTTACATCCTATGCCACGTGCATAATGTTTTATTCATCCTTCATCCTGTCTTTTTAATATGGTTGTATCAAAATTTTGTTTCTATCAAGGTTCACTGTGTAGGTTATGACACTAACCAAAACCAAACATGCAGCACACTGTGATTACTTTTTATTTCTGGCTTGGCATCCTGTTTTCCCTGGAGTTCATGATTGTCTTGAGTTTCGCTTCCTTAGTCTTTCATGTCTTTATTAGTAATTAGATCCTGAATCCTCCCACTGTTGTATAGAACTTTTCTCAAAATTTAGAAACATGTTAGATTTTAGTTTTTTAAAGAGCTGTTTTCTGGAGCTGTTTCTTCCTGTCTGGAGTGTTGCATAATTGTTACCAGGAACTCATCCTCACCCTTGGGATTCCTTTCACCAAACATGGAATCCAGCAAAAAGGATGTGCTATCTAACTGATCACCTGGATGGGTTTGGAAGTATTTTTACTCACGAATTACAAATTATATGTATCATTTTCTTCTAACTTCTACTTTTTCCTTTAAGAAGTTCCTTGGCACTTGTATTTCTCATTTTTTGTATAAGCACTTATAACATGGTTCTTTGGAGCATAGTGTTCTGAAATTTCATGGTATGTTTCTTGGTGTGAGTCTTTTTTCATCTTTTGTCCATTGGTCTTTTTTAATTTGGAAATTCATGTTTTCTAATCCTGGGAAATTTCATGAATTATTTCTTCAATTCTTTCATCCCTTGTTTTTTCTCTATTCTCTATTTCTAAAAGTTTTATTGTTCAGATGGTATACCTTATAGACTGGGTTCTAATTTTCTTTTGTATTTCCTGGTTTTCATCTCTTTGTCATTTTGCTCTGCTTTCTGCATTTTCCATAATTTTATAACCTTATCTCTCCTGAATTTTTCTTTCCAACTTTTTAATATTTAATTTCCACAAACTCCTTTTGTTCTTTATGTGGTCTTTTTGGAGTGTGCAGGTATCCCATTTTTGTTTTATGAATGTAGTATTTTATTTTTCTTTACAGTGATATAACTGGTAGAATTTTTCTAAAAGTTTTATTTTTTTCTGTATGTTCTTTTCAGCAAAATTGCATTGCTCTTATTTTTATCTTTCATACTACATGTTTTCCTCATGTTTTGTGATTCTTGGCAGTTTGCCTATGTGCGTGTGTGTAAATGAGGCACTAGAAAGCTGGTTCAAGACCCTGTGGGGTAGGAACCTGTCACCTGAAGCTTCTCAGTGGTGAATTGCATGGGCAGTTTTCCTTGAGCAACTCTCAGTGTCACTAAATTTGGGTCTGTCTTCATAGCGGTGATTAGATTCCCCAGGAAGACACTTAAGAGGTACCTGGCTGCCAGAACTCTAAGAACCAAGGTGAGGGAAGAAGGCTGAGGGTATCAGTGTTCAGTGTGTAGTATTTCATTTAATCCCTCTGCTGTTGGTTTTACCCTTAGTCAGGTCTGATACTCCCCCCATCCAGGGACACTTTATTTTACAGTCTTCTAGATTAAAGCGCCCACCCAGTCTTCTTTCAGGGCTGTAGAGAAATCGTGACCTGAAGTCTTGGTGTAAGAGAGAGTTGAGGGCACTAATTTGTAAATAGGCTTTCAGCCACTCTTTTTTCCAGCTCTGCCTCTACTCCCTTTCCTCAGGAAGATGGAATTTCATTAATCCCTATGCCTTTGGAGGTTCTGTGCTGTCAGTGGGGCTGCTTCTATGATTTCCCCATTGGCTGTTTACGTTTCTATTTTTTCAAGTCTGTTTTGGGAATTACCGCTTGTCTGCCTCCTTTTTTGGTACCAAAGCACTGTGAACTCTTCATTCTCCTTTGTTGTTCTTGTGAGTTATGGCTTTATTATTTACTTTATTGAGGGATAAACTAAAGTGTATATATTACCTGTCTCCTTAAATTTACAGCTTAAGATTGAAACCGAGGGTTGCATGGAATTCAATTGCTGTCAGCCAGAACACGTATCTGTTCGTGTTTTCCGCCCACAAATGTACTCTTCCATCTTAATTAAGTACTTACCACACACTGTGGCCATACATTTTGCAGTTTTAGGGTCAACAGCAATGTTGACCTAAAACTAGCACGGATTTCTTTTTCCTTTAAATTTCACAAATAGATTTGTTCTTACTGTAGGTCTTAGCAGCCTTGGCATATGACTATTTTTCTTTAAATCAACAACTTTAATCTTTTCACTTAAAGCACTTAACAGCTTCTTTTTGGCTTGTGTGAATTGTCAGTATCGCTACGCTTGCTCTTTAGGGTCGTTGTTAAGTAAAAAGTTAGGATTACTTGAACCCAAGCATTGGATGTCGAGAGAGTTGGTCTGATAACCAAGGAGGCTACTGATTAACAGATGGGTGTCCTGGACAAAGGGATAACTCACGCCCCAGGTGGAACAGGGTAAGACAGACAACGTGAGATTTCATCATGCTGTTCAGAGCGGTGAGCAATTTAAAACTCTAGAATTGTCTCTGGAGTTTTTCATTTTATATATTTAGATCTTGGTTGACCTCTGGTAACTGAAACCACAGAGAGTGAAATTGTGGATAAGGGGGGACCTCTGTGTACCCGTGTAACCATCACCCAGATCAATAGAGAAAACATTTCCAAAGACTACAAGGTTCCTTCCTGTCCCTTTCAAGTGTACCCTCTCTCTGTAAACACTAATTTGATTTCTATCATCATAGACTAGTTTTACCCATTCTTTTAATTCATTTATATGGGATCATATAGTATGTATTCTCAGTATGAAGTCTTTTGTGTCTGGCTTTGGCTCAAAAAATTGGCAAGATTCATCAGTGTTGCAGGCATTAGAGTTTTTAAAAAATTTCTGCATTATTGTGTTGTATAAGTATACTGCTGTTTACCCATTCTCTCTTGTATAAGCATTTGGGCTGTTTTGAGTTTTTGGCTTTTGTGAATCTAGTTGCTATGAGTATTGCTGTGTGTGTTTTTGACATGTGTATACATCCATCTCTCAGGGTTATATACCTGCAAGTGGAATTGCTAGGTCATTAAGTGGGTGAATGTTTAGTGTTAGTAGAAATGGCCAGTTTTTCAAAATGGCTGTACCATTTTCAACTTTCACCAGTAAGCATGAGAGTTCCAGTTGTTGTCTTCTCTAACACTGGTCAGTCTTTTAAATTGTAGCCATCTGATAACTGATAATTCCATGAATTATTTCTTCAATTCTTTCATCCTTTGTTTTTTCTCTATTCTCTATTTCTAAAAGTTTTATTGCTCAGATGGTATAAGAAAAATGTTTATGCCTTTTTAATAACCTTCCTAGGCTTGGGTGGGGTGGGTCACGCCTATAATCCCACACTTTGGGAGGCTGAGGTGAGAGGATTGCCTGAGCCCACAGGTTTGAGACTAGCCTGGGCAACTTGGCAAGACCTCATCTCTACAATAAATCAAAACAAGTTGCCGGGCATGGTGGTGTGTGCCTGTAATTCCAGCTACTTGGAAGGTTGAGGCAGAAGGATCACCTGAGCCTAGCAGGTCGAGGCTATGGTGACCATGAGTGCCACTGCACTCGAGCCTGGGCAACAGAGTGAGACTCCAACTCAAAATCAATCAATAAATAAAAATCTTCCTAGCATCATTTTAGTGGAGTTGGGAGAGGAAACAGGGCTGACTGTGTATGGGTAACCTACTACCTTTAAATGAAAGTCAGGTAATGTTAAAATTTCATCCACATTTTTTCCTCATTTCTGTCTTCCCCAATGTGCTTCAACTCATTTTTTTGTTATCTGTATATAATCTGGATTTGTTTTGGAATAAGACTCTTTTGTTTCAACCATAAGGATTGATATATGATAGGAAACAATTATAAGAAACTGGAACAAGGAAAGAATTTAATAGGTGTATTCACATTTATTCTCTTTTTTTGTTTTTTTTTTTTGTTTGTTTTTTGTTTTTGAGTTGGAGTCTCACTCTGTCACCCAGACTGG